ATTACCCAACAGGCCGTCTTCGTTCCCAAGCAATTCATGGGGACCTGAGGCCAACCACCCCTTGTCCTGTTCATGGGGGTAATCAGCCTTGATGGAGGGGCACACCTGACTTCAAGACATCGATGAGCCCCAAAGCAACTGCTCCTGCAGCCCCTCTACAGGTTTTTTCCAAAGCCCACAAAATCCTTCCCAGTATCTAGCCAGGCGGTGGTAGCACACGCCTTTAATCCCAGCACTCGGGAGGCAGAGCCAGGCGGATCTCTGTGAGTTCGAGGCCAGCCTGGGCTACCAAGTGAGTTCCAGGAAAGGCGCAAAGCTACACAGAGAAACCCTGTCTCGAAAAACCAAAAAAAAAAAAAAAAATCCTTCCCAGTATTTAGTGGACACTTAGAGATAGGCTAGTCACTTCGAGGTTGGGCACACATGATCCAGACCCCCTTATCCTTACACACAGCTGCAGGCTATTATCCTCAGGACCCATAGCACCATCAGAGGAGGAGAGGCCTGGAGCCAAGGCCTGAGGACAAGAAAGGACCCAAACCCCCAGCACCACCTCCCAACACCATGTAGACACCATGCTGGGCCTCTGATCCATCTTCCTCCTCAGACACTCCAAGTTGTCATTTCTTTGTGTCCCACAGCCTTAGGGTACTCCTCTTCCTGACTGCTGGGAACAGCTCCAATGCCACCTACTACAAGCAGTGTAATTTCTCTCTGGTAATACTACTTCCTCCTCCTGAGCAGCCACAGTGTCCACCACAGCTCTGAAGCTGGCATCTAGCCCACCACCCTCGGCAGACAATCACAGGTAGTACCTAGCACAGCTAGGGATCTGATGCAGAGACCACCACATCCCTGAGTCTGACAGAAGGGGTCTCAGTGGGAAGCAAAGCCAGTATCTCCATGCAAGCTAGAAGTGTGTTCTCTACTAGGCAGGTCCTCTGGCCGAGTCACCAGAATCCTGGGACTGCTTGGATGCTCTGTACCAGGTCTGAGCAAAACCAGGTAACGGTGGCTCCTTGAATGCCATGTGGTCCCCCTATGGGCCCAGGGGGAAGAAACAGGCTCACCTATCACACTTTTGGCAAATGATGCTCTTTTAAGGGTGGCCAGGCCCAAGTCACCAATTTTCACAGAGCCAGTGGGTCCCGTGATGAAGATGTTGTCACACTTGAGGTCTCGGTGAATGATGGGGGGTGTCCTTGTATGCAGGAACAGCAGGCCTTTCAGGATCTGCCGGCACCAGCTTCTCAGTACCTTGGGCTTCATCACCTTGAACCGCTTCAGGTACCTGGAGGAAGGGCAGAGATCACCAAGCAGCTCACCTGCCCCTGGAAAGCCCCCATCTGGCAAAGCCTAGCCACATGCATTTGGCAGCTATGTGGCAAGCAATGAAGGGAAAGGAAAAAATGCCAACAGCTCTTCTCCTACCCAGGGCGGCTCAGCCGGATCCAGGCCTGGAGCAGGCGTTGACCCAGGACCACAGCCTTCATGGCTCTTTGCCCTGGAGACCTTGCTACCAAACCATGCCAAGCATAGTCTTAATCTCCTGGATGTAATAAGAAGGCACCAAATGGGGCAGGGTCCCAGACTAGAGTATGAGTGACAGAGGAATACCTCCAGTCCAAGGTCAAGAAGGCCAGGCTATCCATGCAACAAGCCACCCATGTGATGAGCCCTGGTTTCACCCAGGAGGAAGTGAGAGGTGAGGATGGGAATTAGAATTTTCCTCACCGAATCTTCACATGAGAGTGAAGCTGCCCAGAGGCAGAGAACATCAAAGTCCTCCTTAGGGCCTCAGGGTTAAAATGATTCATAGGAACCCAAGCTATGGCCACCCAGAGGGGACATCCCCTTAGTACAGACCTCAGGGAACAGTGACCAACTGTTATGGTCACCTAGCTCTCAACCCCTTGCTGTGTTATGTTTGGCCCTTAACATCTGCATTATGCTTCCAGGACACTAGAACATGCCAGGCTGGCCTCTAGGCAAACAGACATTGGTCAGAAACAAGGAACCATATCACTGGGAACTAAACAGCCTTCCAGTATCCCACACAGGAAGGGAGAGTGGGAACAGTCATATGGTCATGAGAACCAGTCTCATTTGTCACAAGAAGCCAGAGGGAGCCAAATGCCGGGACTAGGTTTGACTCTTCTCACTTGGGGAATGGGCTTCCCATGGCCTAGAGAAAGAATATCACTCAAGAGAGATATTCTGAAACAGACACCAGTCAGATTGGCCCAAGCATTCCAACACCTCTGTTACTCTAGCTATCACAGCCCTGCGCCCAAGGCTACCCCAGCCCACGTGTGTGCAGCACTTACGTCTTCAGGGTCCCCGAGGTCATCAGCTCCGTTACCAGCACGATACAGCGCTTGCCCTTGGCGCTGGACTCCCAGAAGTCGTAGAAGCGCACGATGTTGGGGTGCTGCAGGCCTTTCAACATCTCCGCCTCCTCTTTGAACCGCTGCCGTTCAAGCTTGGTGAGCTTCCGGTCCTAGAGCCAGAGACAGGTGTACTGGGTGGGTTGTGCTCTGGGCCTTGTCTGCCACTCTCCCTTCTTCCAGGGGAGTGCAGCAGGTGTAGGGGCAGCAGGAGAAGCCTCAGAGGCATGCCATTCCCCAGCAGTGGCATGTAGTAGGATCTACCCTTTGACAGTGACAAGTGGCACACCACAGTCAGCCCCCTGGGCCCCACAACCCCAGATACAGTCCCTGCCTGGGGCCCCTCTGTTAGAAACTGCTCCAGGAAGCCAGAAGCAGCTCACGAGCTATGCTGCCGAGCTTTTGCACTTTTTTCATTTCAAACACCTCAGAGGCCTCTGCTCTCTCCAGTGATCACTCGCTCTCAGAGTACTTGTTATAGAGATGAAATGTCCGTTTGCTTCTAAGTATACACAGTGCGGGGAGGTGCTCAAAACCCAGGAGACCTCAGTGGAGGGGAGATGACACATGCCAGAGACCAGCACTGAGATGATGGAGGACTGACTTGGCAAAGCCAATCCTGAGAGCAGGCAGCCGGCCCTTGGAGCAGGAAGAAACATGCTTCACCTGGCCTTGTGCCATGGTGCCTAGCCAAGGCATCAGAACTAATCTGCTGTCCCAAAGTTTACAACAGAGCAGTAAACACCTATCATTGTAGGTCTAGGCACATAGCTCAGTGCACACAATGCTTACCTACCATGCACAAAGCCCTGTTGTTCAACCCTCAGCACTCAATGAACAAGGCCTGGTGGCTCACACAGTACTTGGGAGGTAGAGGCAGGAGGATCAGAAGTTTAAGGTTATCTTCAGCTATATATCGAATTAGAGGTTAGCCTGGGCTACATGAAAGCCTGACTCAAAGGGAAAAAACGCCAAAACCAAACCTCATTGCTATCTTGGAACTTTCATCAGGTATGTGAGTTCTGCCCTCTGCCCTCTGCCTTAGCTCCTGCCTCATTAACCCCTGCAGCCTACCGAGACCCTGGCCCTTCCCTTTCCCAAATCCAAATGGATTCTCACCCTGGAGCACTCAAAACAAACCCAAAGAGCTCACATGTCCCCAAGTGCTGTTCTGTGCTTCCAAGCTCATCTCATAAGACGCCACCAGTCATGGGCCTCAGGGTGACCTCTCTCCACTCTATAAGCACAGTGAGACCTTCTCAACTCCACCTAAGTGGTGTCCAAAGTCACCTTCTAGTCCCGTCTCCCTGGCCACACACCCCAGGGCCACAAGTGTGTGAGAAGAGAGGCGTCTATATTTCCAAAGGAAATTGTTAACACAACCAAATACAGAGCACAGAAACTTGGAGGAATTCCAGGAGACAGGAAGCAGGTGGTTTGAGAAAGACCAGAGAGAGATCAGAGCTGAAAGGAAATATAAGCAAAGATCCCCAGGATCCTTTTGGAAGCCTCACACAATGACAAGCCAGAGTCCAATAGAAGCAGTGGCCCATAGGGTCATGACAAGGGTCACTGTGTTAAGAAATTTTTCCCCACATGGTAGCTGTACCCATTAGGCCAGACCCTCATCAGTAGGACTAGACAGTAGCCATCATCAACAAAGCCAAACAGCCAAGAGAAATGATCAGTGCAGCCAGCATTCATAGACTTCAAAAATATCTAATTAATGTTCTTCTCATGAATACCCAGAATTTGGACCTGCTTATACAAGAGCAAACTTCTATTTTAAAAGGAACCATCTAGAAAAGAGTTCTTAAAAATTCTGAAAGCTGGGCTGGCCTTGTTTAATATAAAATATTCCATAATCCAATGAAATAATAAGTACAATAAAAGTTACTCTCTAATCTAGACAATAAAATGGTAACATGTTCCTCTCATTAAAATGACTATTTATCTAAGATAATGAGAGAAAAGCTACACACTCTGAGAAACCATTCCCAATACACACATCTGACAAAGGACTCAGCCCCTGAATGGAGAAAGAGCTTCCATAACTGATGCAGACAGACAGACAGATGCCTCACCAAATAACCTACAAAAATGGCCAAGATCCCTCAGCAGCTTCCTACCAGCTCTGGGTCTCATCATTCCCCTCCTAGGGAAGACCCACAGAGAGAAAGGAAACACAAGTCCTCGAAAGATGGGCAGGCGGGCAGCTCCACCATCGCCCCACCTAGACTCGGCTGAAGGATCCCACCAGGTAAATAGACACACTGTGGTGGCACTCCCACAAAAGCAGTACACCCCAGCAACTGGAAGGAAAGAAACCCCTTGGCTGAAAAACATTCTGTGTGAATCTCAAAAGCACCAGTCTGAACTAAAGAAGCGAGACAAAGCACGTGTCTAGTGGGAACCCATTTTGATAGGGAACAGACAGACAAACAGCAAAGGGGTCACCTTCAGAACAGTGGCTGCCTCTGGAGTGGGCAGGATCTGGAACTGAGAACCTGGTAGGTGGCTGGCAGGGAGGAGGCCATGAAAGATGTTTTTTGTTAGTTTGGGAAGAATGGGATGGAATCATCCCCAAGTAGCAAGCCTTGTGCTTGCTACTCAAATGCCCTACCACTGAGCTACAGCCACAGCCCAACTCACGCTTGTTTAGTGTGTGTATGTGCATGTGTTCAGGTGTGCATGCATATGAAAGCCAGAGACTGACAGTTGCTTTCTTTTGGGGGTGGTGTGGGTTGAGACAAGTTCTCTCTACGTAGCCCTGACTGGCTTCAAACTCAGAGAGATCTGCCTGCCTCTGCCTCTGTGAGCACTGGGATTGAAGGGGTGAGCTACCACACCCATCTGGCCTTGGCTATCTTTCTCAATCACTCTCCACCTTATATACTCAGACAGGGTCTCTTTAAACCAGAGTTCACTGATTTATTTGTCTAGTCTAGCTAAGCAGTTTGCTCCAGGGATTTTCTGTCTCGGTCTCCCATGTGCTGGGATTAAAAGTAGGCTGCTCCACCCATCCAGTTTACCTACCCGCTATACAACAGATGTAAACTCTTGTCCTAATGCATGCATTTATGGTGAGTGGTTAAACAACTGAGCCACCTCCCCAGCCCCCAACTTGAATTTTTAAAACATGCATATTTCACTGATTATAAATTACACTTCAATTCTTAAAATGTAACAAAAAATAAAAAGTTCACACTATCCAAAGACCAAATGAGAAAGGTAAGTCTAAAAGGAAAAAAAAGAAGAAATATTAAAAGACATGAAAGAACTACCTGGAAGACAACTATGGAACTGTGGCTCTGAGGAGAGACATCCATCCTGAAATAGGCACAGCAGAATAGCATTTCCCTGAATTAAAAGGATGATGATTTAGGACAAAAGGGCCTACTGAGGTCAGGTCAGTAAATGAAAACTGACCTACCCTCCAGCTCTGTCCCAGTGAAACTTCAGAATCCTGAGGCCTGAAAAAATTTCCTGTCTGCGAAGAAATGGCCCAGGCGACAGTGAGTGGAATCAGCGATACTGGTTGTGGGGAGGGCAGCAGCCTCTTCAAAGTGCCGACTAGGAATTCTATACCCAGCCAAATGCACACCTATCAAGGCGACCAGACTCATTTTCCCACATGTAGGAACTCAAAGGTGACTTCCCATGCCCTCTAGATGAACTGAGCTACTGCAAACAGAAATGGATGTGTCTGGGTTGGGGAAACAGCTCATCAGGCAAAGGAGCCTGTTGTGCAAGCATGAGTTCAAATCCCCAGCACCTATGTAAAAGGGCAGGTAGGTTGTATGCATCCGGGCCCCCTACACACAGTGCTATATGGGAGCTATGGGAGGGTTGAAAAGCTTGTTTGTCCACCAGCCCAGCTCCAGGTTCAGTGAGGAAGCCTATCTCAAGTGAACAAGGAGAGTGACAGAGCAGGACCCCCAACATCCTCCTCCAGCACACGCACCTGCACGCAGACACATGTGCAGAAACCACACCCACTCACACCTATGCAAACACATACAAAGGAATCTAGCTGAATTGACCTTTGGCGTCACTGATGAGGCAGCTGAGAAGACGATGGATCCTGGGCAGGCTCTGCATCCCCACAAAGCCTTCTCAGGGCAGCAACAGTCTGTCTCCAGTTCCCTTCCCATGGGTCTAGTTAGTGACTTGAGAGAAGCCTCAGAGCACCATTAAAGTCTAAGTTATTTTACAGTATCCATCATCGACCAACAGCAGCATATGGCTCAAAGTGCAATGCCCAAGTTGTAAATAACAAAACTAACACAAATAGGAAGCGGGAGACGGTGCCTTGCATAAGCTACAGTCCATCATTGTCTTCCCCATGTGAGTGCACGTGCACTCATGTATGGGTGTGCATGCTTTGCTAGTTACAGAACCCAGGGCCTGGCACACCACTACTGATGCCAAGTAGCTAGAAGTGATAAAGACATCCAAGTCAAAGGTCGTTAGCCATGCTGCCTCTAGGAGAGGGACAGGAAGTGAGGCAGAGACCTTATTATCGGTTCCATGCCACCAGGATGTTTTACCAAGGTGCCATGCCTCTTGATCATTTAAGATTGGATCTCACGAGCTCTTCTGAGCACGGCCCACTCTCACTGGGTTATGCAAGTCATCCTCGCCCATAACTCCACCACTGGTTGGTCACACAAAGGAGAGTCAAAACGGCAGCCTCTAAGGTGGGGAGAGGGCCATTCAGGGGTGCTCAGGTCTGACAACCCAGGTGATCAGATGATTGGCTTAACCCATGGTTCAGGGCAACCTGGAGACACACATCAGAGGAGGCTTTTGGTATTAAAGTCAGAGGTTGCCGGACAGTGGTGGTGCACACTAATATCCCAGCACTTGGGAGGTGGAGGCAGGTGGATCTCTGTGAGTTTGAGGCCAGCCTGGTCTACAGAGCAAGTTCCAGGACAGCCAGGGCTATACAGAGAAACCCTGTCTTGGAGGTTGCTGCCTAGAAAGTGCAGTGTTGGCAGAGCCGCTAGAGTAGCAGCAGCCCAGGGCCACAGCGCCATCACTACAGCCCCAGTGGGTGATGACGAGGGAGTCAGGCCCACAAGGGACATGTCTGCTGTTCCTGGAAGAGTGC